AAAGGGTACCACCGGAGGCTTTTCTTATGTGGTATCCATATTATGCAGATTCTCTGGAACCACAGTTACATTTCTGGACAAAAATGAATAGTTATTTCTTCATTAGGTCTTAGGAAAAAAAAAAGATAAAGAAAAATGTTAAAAAAAAGTATCAATTTTTCTTAATATGGCCTCATTTTATTGATGAGGTTCACATAACCTGGTTGTCCCTCAGACAGACTAAAAGTCACCAAGCTGAGCTCCTACCTTAAACACTTAATTTCTCACTCAATCTTCCCCATTGTCTATTAAGATTCCATGCACTTTCCTATTCCAGAGACATCACCATGAAACATCTTTTAATTTAACGGCACCTACATCATAGGTAAGCATAGAATATTGTTGATGCAGATAAGGGAGAAACTAGCAACTTAATATGCTATCAAATACTCTGAAGAGGGCTAGCCATGGTGGGTCACACCTGTCATCCCAGCACTTTGGGAGGCTGAGACAGGCAGATCACTTGAGTCCAGGAGTCTGAGACAGCCTGGGCAACATAGCAAAACCTGTCTTTACAAAAAATACAAAAATTAGCTGGGTGTAATGGCGTGCCCCTGTAGTTCCAGCTGCTTGGGAAGCTGAGGTGAAAGAACTGCTTGAGTCTGGGAGGTTGAGACTGAGTGAGCCATGATAACACCACTGCATTCCAGCCTGGAAGAGTGTGACTCTGTCTCAAAAAAATGCTGTGAAGAGTGTGAGCGTGTATGTGTATGGGTTTCCAGCATTTATCTCATGTTCTTATTTTCCTTTTTCTTTTTTGAGACAGGATGTCACTCTGTCACCAGGCTGGTGGAGTACAGTGTATGATTGCAGCTCACTACAACCTCCGCCTCCCGAGTTAAAGCAGTAGTGAGGATTACAGGTGTGTGCCACCATGCTGATTAACTTTTTTGTTGTTGTATTTTTAGTAGAGATGGGGTTTCATCATGTTGACCAGGTTGGTCTCGAATTCCTGGCCTCAAGTGACCCACCTACCTCAGCCTCCCAAAGTGATGGGATTACAGGCATGAGTCACCATGCCCAGCCATGTTTTCCATTTTAAGTAATTCAGCTGAAGATGAAGAAATTATATTCAATGTACATAAAACACCCAGTAAAAAATGAGTCAGGAGTTTCTAGGATGCAAAACCAGAAATTAAAAATTTTATCTAGGATTTTATGTAAATATTGGACCTTCAAAAAAGTGGTTTTGGCTTGTATTTACAGTCTAAATCCCTCTTTCCCAACACTAGCACCCACCAAGCCTACCCCAACTCTACTAAACTAACTGATCAAGCCAGGATACTATCAAGCACCTAATCAAAAGGAGTTTATAATATGATAATTTACTTCAATGTTATATACTTTATTGTATACAAAGAAAAGGCTGATGGTTATAGGCATAACAATACTTGAATGTAGGTCAGGTGTGGTGGCTCCCTCCTGTAATCCCAGCACTTTGGGGGGCCAAGGTAGGTGAATCACTTGAGGTCAGGAGTTTAAGACCAGGCTGGGCAAAATGGTAAAACCCCATCTCTACGAAATATACAAAAAAAAAAAAAAAAAAATTAGCTGGGCATGGTGGTGCCTGCCTGTAGTCCCAGCTACTAGGGAGGTTAAGGTGGGAGAACTGCTTGAACCCAGGAACTCGAGGCTGGAGTGAGCCAAGATTGTTCCACTGCACTCCTGGGCAACGATGTGACCCTATCTCCAAAAAAAAATTTTTAATTAAAAAAAAGTTTAATTAATAAAGTTCAAAGTATCATCTATAATTTTAAAAAGATAATATGAAAAGAATAATGTCATACAACCCACATAAAATACTCATCTCTCTTAAAGAAGAGGCCTCTAAGAGATACAAAAACAAGATTGTTTAAAATACAATATATGAAGGTGCTTACCAAATTAAGAAAATCTGGCATTCATGTGGCTTCAATAGCACAACAAGTAGTTGAGGCTCAAAAATGGAAATGGATTCCTGGGCGTGCATGGCCCTTTTGTTCAAATCAGTATAAGCAACAGAAATGAGTGAACAATTCTTCAAAAGCTCTAAAGAAAAGGAAAATGGCTTTCCCTTAACCAATTTCCAATGATTAACACTGTATTTTTTCATTAAATGGGAATAAGCAAAGCTCTAAGGACCTCAGGACCCGTGAGATAACTAAAAAGCAGCAGGTTTTAGCCAAAACTACAGACTGCCTCCTCTAATATATCTTTAAATCTCTGCATTCTGTCATTTCTAATGAAAACTCTTAATGTCTTAAGTTTTAAATGTCATATTTTTCATTAACATATACATTTTAAGAAGGCAAAAGAGCACAGTGGCTAAAAGTTTAGGCCCAGCTGCTCACCTATAAACAGGAAATTTAATTTCTCACCATAAACGGGAAAAAATGCATCAATTACTATTATCATATGGTATAGAAATTTCCGTTTTTTGTTTCCTCTCCTTAAACATGACCTTTCCAGAACAGTCTAAGCCACTTAACACGGGAGCAGAAAAATACATCAGCTTAATCTTTCCTAGCTTCCACTACTCTGTTTATAATCTAAAACCACTTTTTAAAAACATCTAGGTCACTGCTTATATTAAAGTAACAAAATACAAAATTAAACCGTTCTTATCAATAGCGATCTCCTATTGTATTGTCAGAGATGGAATCCAAATCACAGCTCAAGCTTTTAGTCAAATTGACAATTACAATGCAAATACCCAGGCTCTGGTGTCTTAAGAAAAGGGGGTGGGAAGCAATCTTCCTCTCCCTCTTTCTTTGTAATTTTGTGCATTCTGCAAAGAGAGAAAAAAATAAGTACAGAAAATTTCTCTAATTTTCCCTTGCAGAAAAGAACAATTGTCTCTTTAGTACTATTTTTATGCTCACCAGATGTAATGTGCTTTGAGAACAAATGTATAAAAATCAAGGTTAAAAAAAAAAAAGCCTACCCACATGCTGTATCTAATTATTCAACAACATAGCCTCTTCAAAGTAATTACCAACTTACAAGGGTATGCCTTCTTCTGTGAAATGGAAGGAAACAGAATTTCAGAAAACAAAAGCAGATTTTTCTATCAGCTTACATTAAATTTTAGTGTTGTAATTTTTGTTCCTAATTTTCAATTAACAGTGAAAAAAACTTTAAAAAATCTGTCAATTTATAAAGGTTAACAATCTACAAGCACATGTAAGTGTATTTTTAGAATTCCCAGAAAAATCATTTCATAAATGAAAAGAATTTCCATTTGTTTTGAATCTTTTGGGTTTCTTGTTTCTACTTTTTATATTTTATATACAGACCAAAGAAACATTTAAAAGGAATTTCAACAAATTTTTCTAAAATGATAGTACCAAAATATAACCAATATAATAAAATAAGAATCCATAAGTGCACACAACAAGAATTTCTTTCTTACAGTATGATTTTATACATGTAGAAGGAATAATAAAAAATTTTTAAATCACTATCTAGCACTACTTATAGTAGTAATTGTTTCAGATGAGTCAATAATAGATCCTAAAATTAGTGAGCAAAAGTATGCTGGAAACAGGATATGTTCAAGTCCCAAAGAGTTTCCCTATAAAATAAATAATTTAAAAAGAATAATTGTAACTTTACAGTGGATAAACCCACCTGGTAGGCAACACCATAACCAAGTGCTCAGTCTTTTTCAGTAATGTAACAAACCAACATTAGATGACTCCTGATACGATACTATGGGAAGGATATAACTCCAGTTATCTGAGTTTCAAGCCAAAAGTCCATAACTTGAATGAATCTAGTCATGAAGAAACATCAAGAAACCCAAAATGAAAGCCATTCTACAAAAGAAATTGTTCGCACCCTGAGAAGTCATCACTCATGATGACTAAAAAACTGTTCAAGATTAAAGGAAACTAAAGAGACATGACAGCTAAATTCTATGTGTGAACCTATACTTTATCCTGGACCAGGAAAGGACACTATTATAGTAGCAAAATTTGAATAAAACCTATAGATTAAGCCATAGTATTTTATTGATTTTAATTTCCTCATTTTGATTGTTGCACTGTGACTAGTAAAGTAAACATACATATCAAATTATTTAGATGAAAAATGATTTTTTAATCAGCTGATAGAGAAGTATTTCTATCACATCTGCAAATTGAAAATGTTTCACAAAAAAAATTACATATATGTTGATGTATCTAGAATATATGACAAAGCAAGTCTGGTCAAATATTAATAAGGGAATCTAGGTAAATGTTACACAGAAATTCTTTATTCTAAATTTTCAACTTTATCTACATCTGAAGTTTCAAACTAAGAGTACCTAAAGGGTAACTATTCTCCATTTTGAACCAGTTTGATAACAACCTAATTCAGGAGTTGTAACACTTTTTCTGTAAAGGGCCAAACTGCTAAAACTTTAAACCTTGTGGGCCATATTTACTCGTGGGCTACAACTACTCAACTCTGCCATATGTCATAAAAGCACCCACAGACAATATATAAATGAATAGGAGTGGTGTGCCCCAATAAAACTTTATTTACAAAAATAGACAGTGGGCCAGATTTGATCTGTGAGCCACAGTTTGATGATTAATTTTTCTGGCCCAGTCTATGCCCAGAAAAATTGATCATAATAATTATACTTTCAGTTAACATTTTCTGAGCATATGACAGACACTATGTTAATTGCTTTACTACCATTATTCATTTATTCTTGAACTAATCTAATGAGACTGATACTATTATTATTTCCATTTTCCACAGACAAAACTAGCACCTAGAGAAGTTAAGAAACTTGCCTAATTAAGGTCACATGGAGAGCGAGTATGAAACCAGGGAGGTCAAATTCTATATACTGAACTATAACCAGTATACTATATTAATACTTCTCAGATGTGTTGAATTATACTGTCGCATGCAATAACCATTTTAACATGCCTAAATAAATATCCAAAATCAAGATTTACATCCCATGAAAGTGTTTTTTCACAAACCTCCTGTAGCTGCAGGGACATGAGTCCCAGTTGATCCTGGCGTCTTTCCACCAACTCCCTTTCTGTACGCATCTCTCTCTCTAGTTCCTGAAGCCGCCGCTCCACCCGATCTGAAACCTTAATAAGAATTGAGAGGAACAGTAGCATTATACAACGAGCAAGCAAAAACAGACTAAATTGAGAAGACAGTTTTATACCAGATACACTACTGTTAAAGCATTTAAGACTGTTTTGTTTGCAAGGCCTTTTCTAATAACACTAACATGAAATAGCTGGCCAAAAACATACTCAAAGTTACAAAAGAAAGTCATCATTGCTGTCCAAATAATCTACACTTTGATCCCAATAATTGCCTCAAATTCTCTGAAATACGATATAATTCAGTTGATTGGAGTTACAAGCAATACACTAGAAAAGGGTGCCCTCTGGTGAGTTAGAATGTAAATACCAATTTTGCTAAAAATTGTATTTGTTAGCCAATTAATGATAAATTGTTCTATCTAATTAGTTCTTTTCTATTTTATTATGCATGAGCATGACCTGCATATGAAGGTATTGATGTTTATTTGTAGTAAATAATTAAAAGGGCTTTACATTAGCTTGTGAACCTTTTCTACCGTGATCTCCTAAAAATAAACAAGCTGTAAAAGATCAAAAACTAAAGTCAAACTGAAAAAAATGTTTAATTCGAACTCACTAAAATAAACATGAAAGAATTTTTCTTTCTGACACAAAATTTTCCTTACTAAGAGTTGCATAAATTCAAACACATCTCATGTATATCATTATACAGCCCACTAAATAAAATTTACAATGTCTATATTTGGTACAGGAGGACAGGGAAGACATTTGTATTCATATAAGAGAAGCAATAAACAGTTCCATTATAAGAAATCTTTTGTTACCAATTATTTATATGACAAAGAGTCAAGAAAAGTCCTGACAAGGAATGTTACCAGGGTCATACAAATGTTCTAAACTGAATTATGGAGGTGGCTGGATAACTCAGTAAACGCACAGAAAAAAAAAAAAGTCATTAAATTGTACACTTAAAGCATTAATTTTATGGTATACTACAGTTCAATATAGTTTTAAAAAAATAAACACAAGTTTACTTAGGCAGAGCAAAAGTTTAGTTTACCCTTGAACAGCAGGGATTTTAACTGCAAAGGTTTACTTCTAAGTGGATTTTCTTCTGCCTCTACCACCGCTGAGATAGCAAGACCAATTCTTCCTCAGCCTACTCAATGTGAAGGATGAAGACCTTTATGATGATCAATTTCCATTTAATAAATGATAAATGCATTTTCTCTTCCTTATAATTTTCTTGAAGACACTTTTTTTCTTTAGTTTATTTTAAGAATACAATATATAACACATATACAAAATATGTGTTAATTGATGATGCTATTGTCAAGGCTTCCTGACAATAGTAGGCTATTAGTAAAGTTTTGGGGGAGCCCAGATTTACAATGTATCCCCAGACTGCATTCAAATAGCTATCTACTGAAGATTGACAATGAATGAGTAGTTAAAATTTCTCTGATTAAATTCAATGAGTTGAATGACTTCTACATTTCAGAAAAGAAGGCTGGCCTTATTAGAATCCTATCAAAAGTAAAGCAGTCCAAATAACCACATACTGAAATCAATATCCAAAATTATTTAAACATCAGCAACTTTGCCACCATAGCTAATACATGTGACAATACAGAGTTACTATATTTGGAAGACTGCGTCTCAATTTTGTTTGTTTGTTTGTTTGTTTGTTTGTTTGTTTGTTTTTGACAGTCTCACCATCACCCAGGCGGGAGTGGAGTGGCAAGATCTTGGCCCACTGCAACCCTCACCTCCCAAGTCCAAGTGATTTTCCTGCCTCAGTCTCCCTAGTAGCTGGGATTACAGGCACCTGCTACCATGCCTGGCTAATTTTTGTATTTTTAGGAGAGATGTGGTTTCACCATGTTGGCCAGGCTGGTCTTGAAATCCTGATCTCAAGCAATCCACCGACCTCGACCGCCCAAAATGCTGGGATTACAGGCGTGAGCCACCGTGCCCAGCCTTCGATTCCTTCTAAGTAATAGTTTTATTGAAACATAATTTCCTGTGTTAATATACATATATATTGTGAAATAATAACTATAGTCAAGCTAATTTACATATCTATCACTTTACTTAGCTAACATTATTTTTGCCAATACTATAGTCATCATTCTGTACATTAGTTCTCTAGAACTTATTCATCCTATATAAAGGAAACTTTGTATCCTTTGACCTATATAATCCCATTTTCCTGACCCTTCCCCAACCTTGTCCTGCCCCTAGCAACCACCATTCCACTCTCTGCTTCTATGAACTACACTTTTTAGAGTTCACATATGAGATAATGCAGTATTTATTTATTTATTTATTTGAGATGGAGTCTTGCTCTATTGCCCAGGAGGGAGTACAGTGGCACCATCTCAGCTCACCGCAACCTCTGCCTCCCGAGTTCAAGGAATTCTCCTGCCTCAGCCTACCAAACAGCTGAGGCTACAGGCACATGTCACCACACCTAGCTAATTTTTGTATTTTTAGTAGAGACAGGGTTTTACCATGTTGGCCAGTAGGGCTCGATCTCCTGACCTTGAGATTCACCTGACTCCGCCTCCCAAAGTGCTGAGACTACAGGCTTAAGCCACTGTACCAACAGTATTTACATTCTTGTACCTGCCTTACTTCAGTTAGCATAATGTCCTTCAGATTCATCCATTTGTTGTGGCAAATGACAGGATTTCCTTCTTTTTTAAAGTTGAAAAATATTCCATTGGGTGTATACACGTGTGTGTGTGTGTGTGTGTGTGTGTGTGTGTGTGTGTTTCTTTATCTGTTCTTTGGTCAATAGATACTTAGATTATTTTCATATCTTGACTATTGTGAATAATGTTGCAATGAACATGGGTGTGCACGTGTCTCTTCAAAACACTGATTTCCTTTAACATTAATATCAAAATTAAGAATAAAACTACCAAATGATTCAGCAATCCCACTTGTATTCAGAAGTGGGATTTCTTGATCATTTGGTAGTTTTATTCTTAATTTTGATATTAATGTTTCTCTTATACAACTTCTGACATAGGTACCAGTGATCCTTGCTTCTTGGTATTCATGCACTTGTGTAATCCTCTACCCTTGAGTGTAGGCTAGGCCTAGGGACTTTCTTCTAATTAATACAACACTGCAAAAGTGATGGGATTTCACTTCTATTGTTAGGCTGCAAAAAATTGACTTCCAATTTGCTAGCATCTTCTCTCTTGCCGGACATCTTCTTGTCTGCTTGTTCTAATAAAGCAAGCTGCCACATTATGAGATGCTCTACATAGAGGTCCCATATCAAAGAAACGAAAGAAGCCTTTGACCAACAGGTTGTGACTGAATTCTCAAATCCAGTAAACTACAGGGAACTGAATCCTGACAATGGCTTCATAAGCCAGAAAGCTGACTCATCCCAGTCAAGCCTTGAGAAGAAGGCAGCCTGCAAGTGACCCAGAGCCAAAGGGCCCAGATAAGCCACACCTGTCACTCAAACCACAGAAACTGCCAAACAAAATGTTGTTTTAAGCCAGTAAGTTAGGGGAAATATGTTACATTAAATATTAATTGTACATACCCAGATGCCAGGACCATCCCCAAAGGACCCAATATACAGGCCAGCCCCCGCAGATGCAGGCACCAGGCCCACCTCCAGGAACTCAGGTTCCAGGTGCACCTCAGTACCATACCAGCCCCTCTAAACACAGGCTCCAGGCATTCCCCCTTGGGCCCATGTACCAGGTCCATCCCAGCACCAGGAAGACCCCAGCAGACTTAGACTCAAGTCTCACCACAGAGCCAGACCAGCTCCTATGGATGTAATCTTCAAGCCTACTGCTAAGAACCCAGGCACTAGGGACACACCTGCAGACTCAATCAACTTGGCCCACACCAGTAGACCCTGGTGCCAGGCCAGCCCCAGAGGAGCCAGGATCCAGGGCCCCCATGAAGACCCAAAGTCAATGTCTCTCCCAGTGAAATCAGGCTCCAGGCTCAAACTCATAAACCCAGACAACAGGCTAGCCTCTGGGACCCAGATATCGACTAAGGCCACCTGCTGACCCCGTCACAAGGCCACCTCCCATAAAGGCACCAGCAATAAAGCCCACTAATGAATCCCGCCAGAGACTCTACCAAAAGTCTCTGCATAGACTCATTAAGTAAATGAAATCCCTTGTCAAAGCCAGTCTATGAAGTCTGGAAGAAATGCTTACTTCTTCAAATGCACAGAAACTAAGGCCATAAGGAACATAAATGATCAGGGAAACATGTTATCACTAAGAGAATAAAACACCAGCAACCAATCCCAAAAAAATGGAGATCTTCAAACTGCCTAACAAAAATACAAAATCATCTTAAACAAATTCAGTGAGCTACAAGAGAATACAGTAGTCCCATTTTACTCATGCAGGATACAGTGCACAATCCCCAGTGGATGCCTGAAACCAAGGATAGTATCGACCCCTATACATACTATGCACAATTTTTCCCTTCTTCACAGTTTCACAGATAGGAAACTTGTTCATATCATACAAATAAAAAATCTCAGTACACATTTTTTTCTTTCCAAGTTGAGGCTTTCACATTTTCACTTAGAAGAAACACTTTATAGCTTCTCTTTGGCATTGCCAAACTATTGGCATCACTACTCTGTACTTTAAAGACATTATTTCATAAAATAAGGGTTACTTGAACAAAAGCACTATCAGGCTACTGAGACAGCAACCCTGATAACTGATACAACTGCTAAGCAACTAATGGGTGGGTTGTGTCTATGGCATGGACATACTGGATAAAGAGATGATTCATGTCCCAGGAAGGATGAAGTGAGACCACCGAAGATTTCATTGCTCTACTCACAATGGCATGCAATTTAAATCTTATGAATTTTTATTTCTGAAATTTTTCATTTACTATTTTTAGATTGCAATTGACCACAGGAAGCTGAAGCCATAGACGGCAAAAGTGGGAAAGGACAGACTTCTGAACAGACAACAAAATCAGAAAATTGTTACATGAACAAAACTAGGAATTCAACAGAGATA